TAAAAATTATATACAAGTAATACATGTGCAGCCATCTTTAACAATAAAGGTAAAAAAAATGTTAGAATTCTCAAAAAAAAAAAAAGAGGTTTGAATTCTCAAAAAAAATGCAGCAGGCTTATTGGAGAAGCTTTGAGAAAGTTAACAGAAATATAATGGAGGAAGGGACGGAAGTGACGGACGGTAACAGCCCTACGACAAAAGTTACAAAATAGGGTTATTTTCTTCCATTCTTATAGGTTAGGGGCTAAAACTGTCATATTATGAGATGAGGGGCCAAAACTGTCCACTTTATCAAGGTAAGGAGTTATTTTTAGGCTTTTACCAAAGAGCAATTGGTAGAATGCACTCTTGATTTCAGTTTCAATACCTCTCAGAACATATATTAATCTACTAATCTAACTATTTCTTCTGCCAAAAAAAAAAATTATGTGATTAATTCCTCCTTTACGGTGTGCTAGGTTTAAACAATTTTTTGATAAATAACTAAAAATACTAATTTTAAGAATGATAAAGTCCTTTTAATTATTACATTTATCTGAAAAAATGCATTAATCTTGGAAGGCAATTTTTGCTTAAGCCAAAAGTGCCTTTTGGGCTTGCAATCCTCGAAGGCAATGGAAAAGTGATGTCTTTATCTATCTAAATTAGTAATTAAGTCTAGTATAGTTGCTAACGACCTAAACAATTCAATGATTATCTCATTCCGCTAGAAGTAAAAGTTTTAAGTTCAAGTCTCATGGTATGCGGGTGGAGTGGTACAAGAGATGAAAGATGATTATCTTCCATTATACAACAAAATAAAAAAAAAAATTGTAGTATAGTTGATTAATGTTCACAACCACTTATAATTTCTTTAGCAATTAAATTTAGCAATTTGCAAGGGTATATATATCTTAAGCTGAGGTTTTCCAGAGGCTCGTGATCATCTGCAAATGATGAAGATGGACATTTTGTTGATGAAAAAGGTGCCCTGCTGGTGAAGAAGAATTTATAGCTATTTGAGAATGGGTTAAATACTGTAAAACTTGTATAGGAATAAAAACAAGCAAGGCAAAAGGTTAAAAACAACATTAATATTATTAGAAGGTTCAAGAAAGTAAGCAAAGCTAATATTGAGCTATGCTATTTGGCAAATGGAAACCTTGGGTCTGTTTGAAATGAAAACAAGAGAAGAATAGAAAAGTTGAAGCTAGAAAATTGATCTCTGCATTTCTAGTTTGCCATGGTAGCATCCTGGAGAATACAATCAACTGTAACTGTGACTGAAACTGAAATATTTGAAAATTTTAGAACATTTCTGGGCTGATAACCCCCTTTCGATTTTTGAACATTGGATGATATTATCTTCAATCAAAGGCATTAAGTGCCAAAACTAAACTTTCAAACTTTTTAATGTGGAAATAAGCAGACCAAGCTTTGTGGGAGCTCTCTGCTTGTATTCTTTTTCCAAGGCTGTTGCTGCCAAAGATTGTAGCTCTGGGTTCTCCTTGTCTTCCTTGTTCCTACCTTTCGAAAGTTGTGCTATGGCAGAGGAACACTAGTGAAGAGGATTAAAATTTGTTTCAGTCACAAAAATAACCATATGATAAGAATATGCAGAAAAGTGTGCACCAAGCTCATTCAGATAAAGAAACTGGGGCTAAGGGTGAGAAAACAGTGTGCTGAACAAACAAAAAATTAAAATTTAATGCTAAAACGAACAAACCGTGTACAAGATATCACCCCAATCCAAAACACAGGAGATCCAAACATGTGTGCTAATCATCATAAAATTGCACACCTTAAACATGCCAATTAATATATGTGTGTGTGAGAGAGAGAGACAGCTCACCAAGCATATACCAAGAAGCGCCCTTGTATTCTTGCCCCCAGTCAAGTCTATAGTGGATGCATAGTATTTCTTTGCTGTCTGAAGGTTTTCTAGCCCGCCAAGTGTGTAAAGCACCTATTGATAAATGATGATGATTGATAAAACAATTAGGTACTTGTCAAAAAATTTCACCAGAGAAGTTCTGAGCGGTCCTTTCATTAAACAATACATGCATCAATTTACAAACATAGAAGATTTCAAGTTTTCCAACTCATACAGACTGTAAGAAGCATTACCTCACCAAATAGTTGCTTCTATAACTGTTTAATGGTGAAACCATGGTCACGATATTTTGCACCTAATAATTACAATAGAAGCCATAAAAAAAGGCACTTACATCAGCATAGGCTAAATGATACAGTGGAACTGTTGGCTGAGATAATATGAGCTCTTCGTAGCAGAATGCTGCTTGCTTGTACCTAACATATCAACATTAAGAAAAGCTTCAGCATTTGGTAAGTTAAAAACTGACAAAAAAGAGAGATGATTTTCATAGCCACATATTGACCCTTACATTTGTAGGGAGACATATGTCTCAGCAAGTTCCCTCCAGGCATCATGATCTGCCATAAATCTGGTACAGAGAAGGAGGAAGCTCAGGCAGACTTTCTCTTCAGCATATTATTAGAATCGGGGAAAAGAATGATCAGACAGACACAGATCTTGACAGGTAAACATGTTATATGGCAAACAAACATCTATAAGTATGTATGTGTGTGCGTAAAAAGAGTGATCTTACATCTCAAGATATTTATTTAGCCACTCAATGGCCCCTGAAATATTTCCTTGGGCCTTTGCCATGGCTACCCTTCTCTTATGTATTACCTGCACAAAAATAAAATGTGTTACATAGATGCTTTTATGCTAGGTAAAAAACATAAGATATCTCATTAAGAAACAACAACCATTAAAATTCATTTGTAGAATAATAAAAGAATCAGTTACAGAATTTACTTGATCAAGTGGGTTATCCTCCAAGAGGCTTGAGTATACTTTTTCTGCCTCTTCCCAGAAACCCTTTGCTTCAAGCAACAATGCCTCCAGCCTGCCTGTAATGCATGCCATAATAAAATCCCTTGGGCATCAAATAAAGAGTTCATAATTATACAAAATTGAAAAAAAGGGGAAACTTTTATCAAATTTATATTTTCAACATTGCTAAGGCTCTTCCTGGTTTGGCTTGTTAGGAACAGTTGATACCTATTGTTGTCAGCAGCTGATATCTATTACTACACAGTTTGAAATCAGCTTATAGGTTGATGTGTCCAAACACCCAAACCAGCTGTTTAAGGAAAAAGAGCTATAGGCTGATAAAATCAGCCAAACCAAACACACCCTAAGTCCCCTGTGAGATTGAAAAGGATACAAAATAATTTAATAATAAATATAAATGATCCCAATTGACTATCTAAATAGTATGAAACACCACAGAATTGCAGCATTGCTATGGTGGGAAGTGATAAGCTGTGTGAGGGGCAAAAGAAAGGCTATAATGTTCAAGAGGTGCTTCTCTAGGTGTCTTGGATAAAGTGAGATATTTGGCAATTGGTAGGCAAGGAATGTGTGCACTATACATAACTGACATGTGGAATACATAAATGCCAATGCATAGTCGCCATAGCATACATAAAAATTCTTTTCCATGGTGAGTTGATTTGTTCAAACCAAAAATAATCAGATCAAGGCCAAAAGAAAATGTGGTTATGATCTTTGCAATTTTAAACAAAGATGACTTGAATACCCTAAGCTATGGGTATGAACCTAACACTGAGTAAGAAGATAAGAAATGATCAGAAGATGACATCTAAGCTATTTCATGAAAAACTGCCTGTTACTCTTGATTACCTAATGTTTAGAGACTCTAGCAAACTAAGTCCCTTCTTAGATCCAAAACTAATTGATTTGTTTAATACCTCATAATTTTTAGCTGCATTTGGTCATACCAACTAGGATAGAAACATATAACTAGTAATAGTTTGTATTTACTTACCAACCCTTTTGCTCTCAGGAAACCTCTTCTGTAAAACCTTTATGCAGTCCTGCAATTTTAGATTGCATTCAACCTCAATGACCAATAATTACACTTTTGTAACATGCAAAGAGCAAGACCCAAATTTCTTTGAACAGTGTTCCAAAGCATAAAGGATATCAATGCGTAACATGCAAACTCCAACATGTGTACGAAATTCAAACCAGTTTAAGAGTGAGATTAATTAATAAATTAGATAGAAAATTTCTTGAATCATCAGTACAATTTTAAAAATCAACTATTGAAGAACAGAATGCATTTCAAGACATACAAAGGAAAACCCTAAAAGAGACAAAAAAAAAAATGTGAAAATTTAAAAGAGAAAGTTTGTACCTTGGCAACATCAAGGCATTGGCAATCCATAGCTGCAATAGCTACTTGCTCATATAGAGTCCATTCTACATCAAGAAATAAGCTATCATCATCATCAAAAAATGCCATCAAAGGACTGAAAATTAACAAATCTAACAAACACATGTTTTTAAACTCTATTTTCAGTCTTTTAAACTCTATTTGCAGCCAAACGGCAAGATAATCACAAGGACAATGACTAATTGATTAAGAAATTTACCGCCAAATGGGTGCTCCAATGAATAAGGCATGACAAAAAAAATCAAACTTGTACAAGCTAATTGTCACTCTTTTGCCTACCAAATTTAAACAATGCGTGCAACTCTCAAATCCAAACAGTAACAATCATTCAGGCCCATGAACACTCATAATGCATACCCAAAGTCTTTCAATACCTAGCAGTAATTCATATAAACACACAATTTAAATCAAATATTTTAACTTTCAAATTCAAGCAACACTGAAATGAGCACATGAACAGACAACTCGGCAACCATTCCATCATTCTTCATCAGTTTGAGCAATTTTTACCAACAAGAAGTTCTAATCAAGCTATAGTAATCATCAAACTCAAGATTCATTCCAACATCTTAGACACATGATTAATACCCAAATTTAAATCAAGCTTGTAACTTCGGAATTCAAACAGAAAGCAATTACGCGAATAATTAAAATGGCTCAAAATCCATTGAAAGTTTCTTCAATACCCAATTGAAACCAAACCCATAAAATCCCAAAACCAGAAGAAAAAAAAGCACCCAAATGTCAGATCAACTAACCGTCTGGACCAAGACTAGATCGCTTTTTGGGGTCATTTAAGATCGACAACCCATGTTTCAAAACCTTCTCGGAGCGCCTAACCTTGAGCTTCCTGACAAGGCAGAGGTAGTCCCAAGCCCCTCCGCCTCCATTGTCAACCTGGTTCTCGAGCCTGTTCAACTGGATCTCTTCTGTATTGCTCACCATCTCCCTCTCCCTGATCTCCTGAGAGCCAATTTTGTACGTAGCTCGTTTAATTGACTAGGGAGAGCCCTTTGCACCCGTCAAGATCGAAGATGTCGTGGACGGCTTTGGAAAGGGTAACGCCGTCACGCTCGTATGGCCGTTAAAAAAAGAAAAAAAGAAAAAAAAAACAATGCTATTGCGAGATTCTCATGGTAATATCGTAAATTTATAATTATGGTGGGTAAGAATCCAGTATATTAAATAAATTAATATA